AACGATGACACCCATGAACAATTGGCTACGTATACCAGGGGATGAGAGCCGGGGATCTATTTGTCGATTTATTCGATACAACTGTCTCTTTATGCCGTCGCTGAGGAAGGTGCACCATCCTTACTCATGGTTTCGTTTTCTTCGGTAATGGGAGTCTTCATTTTGGCCAAGACATCTGCGGGAGCCATTTCGGGATTGAAAATCGCAAGCGCCTTTTTGAAGAAGAGAGCCCCCRCAAAAAGACCGGCCACTGCACCCGTTACGGTGGAGGGACGACGCCCTAAGGCCTTCGCCACCAAGCCGATGCCCTTCTTGGCCGTCCATGCGGCAGCAGTCAGAAAMGAACTTATGATGCCTACCTGGACCGCCCGGTCGATACGTTTCCGCCTCGCAACTTGGTTGAAGGTCAGATCGTCCCTCTGGAGCATAGAAATGATGTTTGGCGCAAACAACTTCGGGTTGATCTTGTTGAAGATCGAATCCAGAATGATAGGAATAATAAAGGTGATGGCACCGATGGCACCGGGCCGGTCGAGATCTCTTGATATACGCACAAGAGTCTCGGARTTCTTGGCTCGTCTGCGAGAAAACTCATGAACAGCCGCTGCCATGTCGTTTCCGGATTCGTCGATGCAATCGGAGAAGATAGAGACGTCTTCCAGGGCAGAATTYGCTCCAAGGCCAAAATAAGGCTGTGAAGAAAGAAGATATTAAACGRCAATAGTTGAGAGCATACAATGAGTGATTCGTTTGGAGACGTCAGAAAGAAGTAACAWTTTCTGTCGTACCTTGACAGTATGGGCACAATCCCCCAAAATAAGAGTGTGGTCGCCCTGGTTCAACCTGGGTCCAACGAATCGGAAGGAGGGCAAGAATGACGGCGGTTTCTTGGCAACCTGGGCAACGACTTCATCGTCGAGGAACGCCGAGAACTGGGGAAGCTTTTCGTCGAGAAACCCACGGAGTGTCTCGGGTTTCACGTCAGGCTGCGCCATGGGATCGTCTTCTTTGAGCAGTAAGACTCCGCAGTAGTTGCCCTCGCGATTCGCCGGTAGTGCGTCGATGTTCATGCCGCCTTTCTGGGAACGYGCCGAATAGTTGAGGTCGGGCCTCCAGTCTTTCGGAAGTTTCATTGGGATGGTCTTGTAGACCCGTCGGTTGTCGTCTTCGTACCGGGTTACGCGAAAGGGTTTTCCGGCAAATAGATTCACGATCGGATTTCTCGACTCGCGTTCCTTTCGATCGGCTTCCTCCATGTAATTGGCAACGGTCCTAGCGGTTCCATCGGCGGCAATCAAGAGATTCGTGGAAATTCGTTCGGTAGCTTCGACCTGGCACTCGACGTTGATTTCCTCTTGACCCTGGCACTGGAAGACGTCGACAAGTGCTCCTTGTTTSTTGTCGTTGTTGCCATCGTCGAGCGATACGGGCACGACTTCGAAGCCGTGGTTCAGTTCAATGGTGTTCGAGTAGTTCTCGATAATGTGCTTGTGCAAAACCGCCACCAACTTGTCCCGGGGGAGGACCTGGGTGGTAAACTTGCGCTTGTTGCGTCCCTCGAAGATGCGCTCCACRCCCTCTTCCGAACCCGGTGCCCAATCCTTTCGTCCCACCACGGCGGTACTCACGGCCTCGACCGGATCCCAAACCCCGAACTTTCCAAGGGCCATTTGGCCCCTCCCCCCCAGTCCAATCAGATAGAACTTGGCTACCTCGCTCCATACGGTCTCGTCCGTGGGAGAGTAAGGGGCGGGAAGCCGGTCGTACAACCGAATGGATTGGTTCGGAAACTTCTGTGCGAGCATGATCGCGGTCAGCAAGCCGGCGGGGCCTCCCCCGCAAATCACGACGTCCGCCGAGCTTTGTTTGCGAGATCCTGTTTTGGAGTCCATCGGAGGCGCCTCGGTGGTGGATAGCAACCTCGTGGGATTTTGTCCGCCTATCCGATAAGCACCTCCGGCGCCGCTTGGCGCGATCCCATTGGTGCCTTTTCGGCTAAGTGCCGGGGAGGGGACGAAGGCATCCACCGCCGTCTTCGACAGCGGCTGCAACGCAGCTACCGCGGCTATAGCTGAGAAGATCAGGGGTCCGATTCGTAATTTGGTCATGCTTCGAGTCTTCCGTCCTGTCGATCCAGAAGGATATGGTACCGTGCGGTRTGCATCGATCCTTATAGAGTTTCTTTGCAGCAAAGGCGTTACTCTACGATACGTTTTGAATGAAAGAGTACGATTCATACCTGTAAAATAAAGTACGGTAGGTACGGTACCTTTTCATTAGGGAGTTTCCTGTAGATCGCGTTAGTAATGTACTGGCGCGGTAGGTTTTTACACGTACGCCAGAGTAAACAGTCAACAACAAAAACCTTGGATACTGAGGTAACATACGTACGAGGTGCCGGTAGAGATAATATGAGTCAGAAATGAAAGGATTTCGATAGAATTTTACTAGTATTTATTAACTGGCAGCTTTCCCGAAGACCGGTGTCAGCATTTTTTTTCCTCAAAACGACGATTCGACCCAGGTCTCATCATGGGATCCTTTCGAACGATCATGGCTACTCCTATTTCTTTCTTCCTATCACCATGCTGCACTGCCTGAAGCTAGAAGAGCTCAGTTCAACTTTCTGATTTTCATTTTTTCTACATAAGAGTTTGATCAACATAAAGAGCGATTCTATTTCAAAACTTTCTATAGGAGATATACAACATTTAGGCGAAAAGGAAACACTCATAATTAACGTGAGCCGCTCACTCTTGTTTCGAGAAGTACGTCCATTGCAACGAGAACAKGAAAATAGTGATAACAATCCTCAATTCGGAAATTAAAGGATACCGTGTCCATCTCGCAGAAATTATCGGAATTGGGAGTCTCCAAGGTGTGCGAAACTATCGGTGCTCATACTACTACTGCTGGATTTTTCGCCTGGAATCGTTCCGAGGCTCATTCCTAGGCTCATTCCGAGAAGAGATTGGTTGCTCTTTGTTTCGTTGTGCCTCCCGGGCCCTTTCACTTTGGAAGGAGCACCTGTATCATTCAGGGCGGCGGTGTGATTGAGTTTCATGGAAGTATCGAAGAGGGCACTGAGCTGGCTCTCCTCTTCGAATCCCATAGATAGACTGGTTGCAGACATCGACATTCCCGACATGATGCTGGCGTTGTATTTTTTGTTGCTGCTGCCACCGCTCGTGTTGCCGCTGCTGCCGCGACGCGTGTAATCGCCATCGCTATCGCCATCGTTCTCGAATATGCTTTCCATTTTCAGGCTATTCTCTCGCACTAGACCCGGTCCCCTCCGTCGTGGTGATGAACCGTCGGAATGGTTCCCACCACTTAAAGTGCCTTCCGCTGCAGGTTGGGCCGACGGAGCACCTATTGGCATAGGTTCATAGGCGTCGGTTCCAGCATAMACTGCATTCAATCTACTTTGAAGAGCCCCCCTTATTTCAGAAGATGAAAGTTGTTCCTGTTGATGCTGCATTTGCTGTTGCAGTTGTTGATGTTGATGCTGCKKTTGCYTWAGCTCGTTTAGTTTTTGTTGATTTTGAARCTTTTTCATCTCAAACATCTCGAGTTGCTGTYGCTGAAGAACTYGTTCTTCCAAAAGTTTTCGCTTCTCCGTGARTCTATTYATCCTAAGATTATCCATGTGCATTGTTGTGGGTTGATGCTGGAAGTTCATATTATTGTTTTGAGGATAGTTGATATCGGCCGCCATCACGGCCGTTGCATTTCTAAGAATTTCTTCTTGCTGTTGGGAAKTGAATTGGCGGCGCTGCGACTGGTGCAATTGMGCTTTTAGTTGTTGCTGCTGCAACAATTTCAGTTCCTGCCATTTTCGTTCCTGTTCACGTTGAAGCTGCTGCTCCTGTTCTCKTAGTAGCATTTGCTGTTGCTGCATCATATTAATATTCGGTTCGTGGATTTGTGGCGGTGGAATCATTTGAGACAGATCTATGSCATTCGTTCGATTTCCGAGCATATTGTCGTTCGATGAAGAATGCCTGTCGTTTCCTACTGGAGACTCGTAAAGCGGAGCGGACAGCATTCCTCCAGACAAATTGTTGCTATTACCACCCATACCGTTGAAGGTATTCTGTGACATCATACCGCCCTGTGAAAAAGAATCAGTCCCGATACTCATAATCGATTGCTGTARCATATTATATTCGCTGTTATCTAGCTGCTGTTGTTCWGTTGTAGCCGTCTTGAGGATCGTAGCGAAAATAGACAAGAATGAAAAATRTTTGTGAGAACTGRGAAGATTTTTTGTTCTGTTTAGAAATTCGGGTGGTCGGACAGACGTTATTCGTACCTGATTMACTGAAGCAGCTGCTTTTTCACCGTTATCCTGTTTTTCGTTGTTCATGATCTCGGGTGCCCCCTCTCGAAGTGCCTGCCGTGTTTTATCTAAGGCTTTCTTCTCCCCAATGTCGTACCATAGTTTCGTGTCTTTGTCCTGTTTCAGAAAGCGACCGGGAGGATCCCGGGCTCGGATTTCATCGACAATTAGCTTCGAAAACTTGCCCTTTTTCTGTTTCGGACACTTCACATACTCAACCTTGTGTTTTTT